GATGGTGAGCTAAGATCGATTTGCTTTTCATAAATGGAGTGCATTCCGAGACTAAAATTACAGGTGTTATCTATTAAATGTATTTGATTTTGTGTATTACCAGTTAAGACATGTTCCCATTTCATTCCATTGTGGAAATCCTAATCGTGTATATTTTGAAAACCTGCATACTCAGAATTGTGCTATGGATTGAACACTTAAATACAAATAGAATTTTATAGCTTTGATCAGAGATATGTGAGAAAAAATATTCTTTGGCCCTGCAAGGTGTAAATTTTGTGTTCTCTGTGACGCTATGTCTTTAGGTTGGACCGACAGAAGGTGACCCAGCTCAGAGGAAGCTGTTATATTCACGTGCAACACATTGCTACGTAGAGAGGTGCTCTGCATACTACTCTGCTGGCGATTCTTTCCATCTCCGCACCGAATCTGCGCAGCTATTCAGTATCGGACCACCAAATAATCGCATAATGTATGTCAAGCTGCGTATTGAGAAGATAGACTCTTGAGTGTGCTCTACCTAATAGCAGTATCAAACATTCCAACAGATGCTTTAGTGTTTATTTGCTTTGCATTTTTACATTTCCTTAAGTTCATTTGTGCAGTGAATGAGAGCAGCATTTAATTGATGTAATTAGAACTCATTTGCTTCTTATATGAATCAGGGTAAAACTGTATGATAATGTGTAATGTGCCATCAAACTGATTATTATTTTTGCACTTGTTATGATGATGATATGCTGTATTTGACAGAGACAGTCGCTGGTGGAAGCTGAGGGTTGTGTAGTGGTGTCAACAGTATATGAATTCAAAGAGATATCTTCCATAAACCTGTTCTGTATAAAGTGAAAATGTCGCGAGAAGGAGGAAGTAGTAAAGGAAGACTGTATGTGCCCTCTGTTTCGTGTAAAATAAAGGAAAAGTATGTATATGAATAATAGTGTGAAAGCTGGCGCTACGTTTTCATTGCAGAATGTGTATTTTGTGTGTATGTTCTATCTGGTTGTGTGGTTATTGTCAACTGAATTCACATAATGTCTGAGTCCTTTTGCCATCTTCAGAAATTTCAGTTTTTGTTTATGTACTTCCAGAGTGAAAAGATTTATTTCAGAATCCTATTAACACACCACATAAGAACTGTCTTGCTGTACCCTCAAAATTGAGGGAGGGTATAGTAAGGAAGTGGATGTGATAAGATGTCGAAAGGGGTTGGCTGTTTCTGAGTATTGTCCTGTTGTGCTGTAAGCAGAGCTGACCAAATTAACTAGTGCAGTGTCACATATTTATGGATGCCATTCCACTGTTTGAAAGACTTGCTGAGTGTGTTACTTCCTGTTCTGTTCCTGTGTATAAAATGTGTTACCAGTGAAATATATACTTTTCTGATGATTTGATGGCATGAAAGAGTTAATTTGTACATGTAAAATGCATGCTGTCTTATTAATGTTTGTAATGTTTGCTTGTCTGTCCTATTTATTGTCGGGATTGTTTCCAATCAAGTTTTTTTGTGTATTCAATTACTCGTTTGTTGTGAGACTAATATCAGTTTGAAAACTTACATCAGGATTTTGACATATAGTCAGTTCTTCTGTAATGTTATTGTTACATTTTGGATCCTGTGTTGAAGAAAACTTGTGTTATAAAAACAATTGTAGTGCTTCTCGGTACAGAGCATGTCAATATTTTTTGTCCTGTGATTGTGTGTTTCTTGTTTTTGGTGCATGTTATGTTGCTCCTCCTACTGCTGTGGAGTGGTGTGCACTGCATCATACAGGGCCACAGTCAACATTTTCACTAGTTTCTGAACCTCAGATCCCTTTTTTTGGGGGGGGGGGGGGGG